CCCCCCCCCCCCCCCAAAAAAATCTCACCCACTGTGACCTACTTGGATGTCTTTGGACCCTCCACTCTTTTCACAAGTCGCCCGCTAATTGCCTTCAGCAGCCAGACTCGTCGTAGGCTGTTTGTGCGCCTCGCTGAGAGCCTCGGGATGAAGGAAACGCGATCTCTGTGTGAACAGTTAGCGACACGCTGAGACGAACCCTTTCATGGGGGATGACAGTAAAAGCAGAGAGACCCACTGCACGTCCTACCAGCAAACAGTTTGACGAACAATAATTAGTTCAAACTTGCTACCTGAATTTTTACGCATTTTCCATTTTCCTACTATAGTAACTATCTTTCTAATTTGAGCTCAAAAGAGCTCTAAAGGCTCTAAATAAAACAAAGAATGTAAAATAAATGGATGGACATTGAGATGTTGCCCAATGTATGCCAACTGTCATCTGTCATATTCCTGCTGTTTAGAGCTCTCTGAACCAGCACTCCCAAACCAACATAAATCTCCTCTGGCTTACTTGCTGCCATATAAGGTTCCATCTTCAGAGTCCAGCGCAGACTCTCCACAGCATGTGATGCTGCAGCAGGGGGGGGGGGGGGGAAAGAGAGAGCGCCTTTTGATTCTTCGATGCACCGTCTCTCATTAAGGCTGCCCGGCCACCTGCACCTTCCCCAAGCAAGTTCACGAGCCCCGTTGTTGTGGAGCGTTCCGTCTCATCTACATGACCCACTTTGAAGTCACGTTTGGCAGACGTCTGAGGTCTCGTGTCCAACGGGTAACTCTGTTTTTTTTTAATCCGCTGAACAGATGCTCACACGGGAGCGCCGGTGGTTGTGCTTTGTGCTCCCGAGTGACTAATAAAAACAGGCTCCAATTCAACGCCTTTTTATTTTTTGGGGCGAAATGATGAATATATGTTCAGTAGCACTTCTGGATGAAAACATGCCAGGCGATCCTCACATTTATGAGTATAACGGCTTACCTTTTTCTTGATTCCAAATGAAAACCACAGCCAGAGACTAGAGGGCCTCACATGTAACTTCTGAGTCAAATACAAAAAGGCCTCTTTTACTCTTAACATGACCAGAGGTGGGAGTTGTACATCTTTCACTCGGTCAGTTAATCCCTTGTGGGGTAAAAGAAGAGTCAATGTGCAGATGCATCAGGTCAGTGCTCCTATATCACGAGCCTGTAACTCATGAGAAAACAGTGAAACTAAAGACAGAAATAAATAAATCTGTCACACATACATACTGTCATATGTACCTCTTTTTTTACCATGTTGTCGTAATCCTAATCTGCAGTCATGCTGGCAGGCTGATTTTGGGCACACAGCTACTGTCAATATGCAAATATGCATGCTGAACGTAGCCCAAATTGATATGATCAGAAAAATGAAAGATGGGGCCTTTTTAGAGTGTGACTGTAACTTTTACTGTCACATTGGCTAATGCCAAAAAACTCACTGTAACAGTAGCACACGTGGAAAGGGTTAAAAAGCCAGTGACTTGTAAAGTCAAAGTTAGCTAACGTTAGCCACCATAAACTGCTGGTCATGCAAAGGTGCATTTTATTGTTTGAGACAGTTCGCTGTAAGAGGACAATCATCTTGTTTCTCCTGTTTAGAAGTCATGTAGTCTCCCTGGAAGAGTCGACCCCAGACGTGACGGAAGGTTTATCTCTCAGCAGATTGTTTGTGATTTAGTTGTCGCCTCTTCACATTTGGACCCAGAACGTACTCGCCAACCTTGTGACCTCAAAATATATACAATCCTCAGGAAAGAATACCAAATAATTCAGCTAATCGTCTCCCCGCTCACTGAAGGCCGTCTCAGACACAACGGTCACTGTTCTCTGCTACGACAACCGGTACACGGAAAAATGCCCGCCGCTCTGACCGTCCTGCTATGTTGATTTGAACGGGAATGCCCGTCCTGCTCGGATTACGATGCCCTTAGATGTGGGCAGCATGGCGGCAGCGCCAAGCCGAGGGCCTCTGGAGCTGACATATTGTGCACCCAAAGTTGCCGTCCTGCTTTTTATGACTCATACTTCTCAAAAATGTCAAACGCAAATGTCTCCCAGCTGCGATCGAAGTTGATCACAAACACGTTTGCTACCAGCAGTCCCTGCACAGCCATAAACACGGCAATTTACACAATTGGACAAATTAGGCAGTTCAATTTGAAAGGGCCCGTTGTTTGTGAAAGAACAAGAGGCGGTTCTTCGGACCGTGTGTGGTTTGGGTCGGGCAGGGCGACATCTGCTCGGAAGGCATGTGACCTCAGCGCTGTCCACGCTCCTTTCTGCTCCGGTCATGGCAGCTCACAGGCAGTTGGCTGTTTGTTATCCGAACCATCTTTGTTTTTTTTGTTTTTTGGCTGGTATTCGACCATGACACGGGGCATCTGGGCAGAACTTTGCCAAGGCGAACGATATGGTTCGGTACTCGCTGCAGATGTTTTGACTGGTCCAGCTGCTGCGTGTAACATCTGTCCTGGCTCTCTACATTTAGTGCCTCAATGAATTATTCCGCTGTTGTACAAGGTGGTAGTGATTAGCGGCAAATAATCCCCCCGTGGTGCACATGAATGGTCCACTGTACTTCAGGCCTCTCAATTGCACCAGTGTGTGTGTGTGTGTGTGTGTGTGTGTGTGTGTGTGTGTGTGTGTGTGTGATTCAACTGAGCTTATCAAGAGGTCTACTGAAGGTGGTCAACACAAACGTAGCTGCCCTGCAGGCTCAAATCACCACAGTCTGTTCTCCGTCAACATTTGTACACAAGACTGAGTAGCTCGCCCAACTCTCATGTGTCAATTTAACACTTGCCAGTAAGCATTCGTTGCTCTCTGGGAGTAAAGTAACAGCTACTTCTGTGCAACATTTTATCTTAAGAAGTTGTCCATCCAGGTCTCGGTGGGTCAAGGTTTTGACCCATTGAAGCTAAAGAGTTGAGGCAGTAAAAGAAGCACATTGTGTCACGGAACATTTCTATTTCTGGATAAAAGGAAACCACAACAAGAGGCTCCATCTGGGCTGCAACGATTTTATCAACAGCTTTTCCACTTTGGTCCTCCACTCGGGACCAGAAATACAAGGAAAGGGACAACTGTATTAATGGAACAAGGTCAGTGTTAAAAGGACAACAGTTATGAGAACATCTATTTTCTTATTTTACATTCATGGGCTCCTCGAAATACCTCCCTCTATGATTAGATGTCCTCTTTTTCATAAACACAAAGTATGTTTTCTTATACTTTTAATATTTTCTATGATTCATTTTCAATGTATATTATGTGTACATTCACCGCAGCACAACATTTCTGTACTGTTATATTCCCATCTAATCTTAAATGATCCAGAATGTCAGTTTATCTAACACTTCGACTGCTTTCATTGCTCATGCCTCAACATTTCAGTATCTTTCATGGGCTTAGACATGGACTGTCATGTCTAAGATTTACAAGTTGTCTTCCCAGAAATCGTTGCAGAATGTAGCTGAAGTGCAGCTTGACCCGTCCTTCCAAGCTGTTATTGCTAAAGGACAAAAGATCCTGTGTGCAATTTGACTCGTGACCAAAACAAAAGGCACTTAAACCACCTGAACCTCAGTTACACATGTTGGTCCAAATCTAAAAATACTCGCAAAGGTTCCAGAGGAGTCATGCGGTGTTTACTGTCCTGTCCACAGGTCCACATGGCTTGGGAGAATGCACGCAGCACTGCAGGGATGAATGAGGCTCGCCTGTAAATGTCTGTCGCTAAGCTAAACCAGCGCCCTGACACTAAGGCGGCAACCTTTGGTTCTGAAAAGTGATGTGGAAGTGCCTTAAACCTGCATTCTTTCAACTCCTCTGGTTGTATAGAAGTCTATAAGAAAAGGACTCTACTTCTCTCTTGATTTATTACCTCAGTAAACATCGTAAACATGAGTTTATGGTCTCAATCTATAGTTTCAAGTGTTCTTCAATACAGCATGATGTTCATTTAGTAAATGATGGTCCATTTAGAGTAAAGCAGACTATGCTTTAGGGCGTGGCTACTTGGTGATTGACAGGTCGCTACCACGACGTTGTCCGGTCTCTGAGTTGTTGTCTAACAGCTTCATCCCTTTCACAGTGTGTCTTTAGTTCATGAGAGTTGATAGTAACATTTTGCCTAAAGATGTCTCTTTCAGCGTTCACCTGTACTTAGCGTCACCCACTGTGTTTCACATTTCTAGTTTGCTCGGATTACTGTAAATGGACAAGTTATCAGTGAGCAATGACTGGCAGGAACTCAGACAACCGAAGAACGAGTTCAGTAAGGAGGAAACGAACCGCCCTGCCTGATTCTGTTCCTCCTAACAGATTAGCTGAGAGCTATTCTTAATTCAGCCTGAATGCGGCTCAACAAGCTCTGGAGGCAGTTGCCCCCATGTATCACTTCCTGTTTTCCTTTCCCAGGGCGAGAGCTGCTCCGAGACAAGCGCCTGAATGCTTTACCGCGATGGTAACCATGGTGCGGTGAAAAAAGCCTCCTGTCCTGGCTTCTGGGCCTGTGCCCCGCACCAGCCGCTTCATCCATTACCGCCCAATGACAGTGGTTAGCACTCCTCTCACCCAGAACCAGCCAATCAGAGGTGACGTGGAGTGGCCCCCGGCCCTTGCCAAAACGTCGCCCACTCTCTGGTTTTATCAGGTTGCCGCAAAAGTCAACGTAGGCCCCTGTGTTGTTTTGGATGGGATTTGTTTAGGAGATGCAGTGATGGAGGATGTGTGTGTGTGTGTGTGTGTGTGTGTGTGTGTGTGTGTGTGTGTGT